ATGTTCAGCAACCTGGAGGGTCAACAGATGGGAAGAGGGGCACATGAAAATCATGCCAGCCTCAACCCTGGACTTTACACATGGTTGGTGCAAACAGCTTCATTCATGTGTATTTCTGATATTTGAGGAGTCCTCTTCCTTCAGAATCAAGGTTAAACATTTGGAAAGAGGAATATGCACAAAAGGGAGTCAATGCATAGAAGTGCACTCTATATCAAGATGGGAACCCTCTGATTCTCAAGATATTTCCAGGAACTCTCGGAAGTCAGGATGGCCAATAGTCAGGGACTATGAGAGTTACAGCGCAAAACATCTGGAAGACCAAAAGTTCCCAGCCCCTGGTATAAATCTTGCTTTGAAACCATGTTGTCCAGAGGCAGGCATGGCTAAAATAACGCCACTGTTCTGCAGCAGTTTAAATTTCTTTGGTTGGTTAAATTTGTGTTAGAGCTATATTCACTTCCCCAAGGCATCACACACTGAGTACAGGTCCAAACCAAGAAGCATAGCTGCTGGCTGCGCTATGTGGGGGATGATGGTAGCTGTAGTCTACCACATTTGAAGGTTTGGGAAGTCTCACCTCATGTTTGATCACATTCTTTGAGTTTGACAAGATGGTGAAAATGTGTTGAAGGGCATCTCAGTTGCTGTGGGTGTCCTTGACTATGCCCTACATATATTTCATACTCAGTTCCTTTTCTACATAATATATGTAGGCATAAAGGTGTCATGCTGCTTCCTGACTCTGAGTATTCACAACTGATGCATCTGGGGTTTTTATTCCAATGGAAATTCTCTCGTGACGAGAAAAAAATACAGCAAAAATATTAGCTCTAATACATAAGGAGCAATTATTCAGATTCAATTAGAATGTGAAAAGGATTATTTCTGCAAGATTTAACTATAAACCTTCATTCAGGAACACAGAGAAGTCAGTGAGTGTAAAGTGTATGTAACTGAGTACCAGACTAGAGCTGAGCGTTTTTTTTGCCAATTTTTTCTTTTTTTTTCTTTTTATTAGTAATGACAGGGGTAGAGCTACTTCCAATTCTGTTTTAAATTCTGATATGTGTAAGATGAACATATGCAGCACTTAAAAATCATTTTCCCATAAGGGGTACCTGGCTCAGAACAGAACAGAGATATTTTCACTCGCTTCATATTTCATGAAGAAACGGCACTGAAATGAATTTGACTATGGCACTTTAGAGATCTGACATCATGTATGCGGGTAAAATACTAATAAAGCCATTCATACCCACCTAGGTTTCATTAAGAAAACATTACAACTAGGCTGGTTCCTTTTTCTCCATTATTCTTTAAAAGCCTCAGCACTCTGTTTCTTTGATGGATACCTGTCAACCACAGGGTGCTTAGGTTCCTGTTGCTCACTTTAAAAAACCCAGCAAGCAGAAGGCAACAGCAGGGCTGTGGCATGCATGCACACACACGCGCGCACACGCACACACGCACACTTTATTCTCATGCAAACAAAACAAGGAAAACCAACTAACACTGAACATTGTCAACAATGGTTATTTCTGAAGACTGTTCCTTTACTGCCTAGAGTTCAGCAAGAACGCTAGCATTTCCTGTGGAAACTACGGTTTTGCAAGTAACATCACACAATTTTTTTTCCTTTTTATGGTTTCTTTTTGAAAGCATACATAGATGCAACATGGCATCTTGACAAGAACCACAAATTAAATGTTTGCTTCATTCACCACCTTGCAACCTTAAAAAAAAGAAGGATCACAAGGAGAAGGAAAAGGAAAAACGTCGGGGGGGGGGAAGTGAAAGATATTTCAGGAGAGGCTGGAAAGAATCCCTGGAGAGGGTTTCACCGGGGCTGACTGCACAGAAAGGTGGCTTGGGGATGTCAGAACCATGACTTATGAATGAGAGATGGGAAGAAGTGAGCGCCGCCGCCACCCGCTTTTTTAAAAAGGAAATTCTCCAGTGATCTCTGTGTGTGCGTGTTATCTCCAGAGTGTTGCTTATTTCTGGATGCTGTACGAGGCAGACGTATTCAAAGTGGCTTAAGAGCTTTTCCCTTCTCAGGAGGTGACTGCCTGGTCCTTTCTACTGTACACTGTAATTAGATATAGAGACATCTTACTCGCGCTCTAACACACACACACACACACACACACACACACTTCTCCGCTCCCTTTCATTCTTGCCAGGCTTTCCTCCCGTATGTGGTGTCAGTCCCATTTCGGGTATCCAGTGTTACCCTGCGCCTCCTGGTTGGCAGGAAACCGCTCGCCGACCAGCAGAGCTGCACGAGGAGGAGGTGGTGGTGGTGGTGGTCAGGGGGGAAGCCAACGAGGAGCCCAGAAATTCAAGCAACAAGAGGGGAGCAGCCCGCGCGGCCGGGAAGCTGCTGCTGCTGCTGGCGGCGGGAGCTTTCCCTCTCTGCTCCGAGCGCCCCTCAGCTGCGGCGTTACTATAGAGACATCACCGCTAAACCCTTTCCCGTGAGGGCGAGCCTCTCCCGCAGACCACGAGCGGGGGAGCGCCGGGGAAGTGAGCGGAGTCCCAGCCCCAGCCTCGCTGGTCTCGGCGCCTCGGCTGTTTCCTTCCCCAACACGCAGGCGGCTGAAGGGGGGCGGGAGCCCCGGTGCAAACTTGGGGCAACCGACCGAGCCGAGCCTCTTGGGTTCCCTCAGGTGGAACTTGCACTCACCCTGCCGCGGCTCGCTCGCTCGCTCGCTCTCTGCTGCTGCTGCTGCTGCTGCTCTTCCTCCGCCACCTCCAGGGGCTCCTGGCCGAGGCGCGGCGAGCTCCCGCCTCCTCTCTCCCCGCTTGCTTGCTTGCTCGCTTGCTGCTGCTGCTGCTGCAGCCGCTGCCGTCTGCCTTCCCAGAGAACGCGGCGGCCCGGGCGGGCTGAGGGGACGCGAGCGCCGGCTTCGAGGCTGCTTGCGTCACAATAAAGCCGAGGCCATTCCCCACGCCGGGAATTCGGGGGGCTGGGGAGGAGGGAGAGGGGGGGCTGGACACGTGACTTCAGGGGGAGGCCCTGAGGGAGAAGAAGGCAGGGCAGACGGAGAGGAGAGGTGGTGGCAGCGGCAGCAGCAGTAGTAGTGGTAGTGTTAGTAGCAGCCGCCGCCGTGCTGCTTGTCCAGCGGACGCACCCCCTTTCTGGTTCCCTCAGAGCTGAGCGTGTCTGGAGCTTTTCCCCACCTCGGCCA